AAAAAAGAGAACGGGCCCTACCCCCCTCCCCGGACTTATCGCTCCCCCCTGGGATAGTATGATTTTATTTTTTTGCACACTCGTCCATCTTAACTATGAAATCATACCGTCCCAGTCAAGCCGGGTTCCCCCCCCTCAGGTTCCCTTGTAAAACACTATGCGGTGACATTGTTTGTTCTAACATAGCACTGTTTCACGAATCCCTTGCAAAACGTAGGACGAAGTGCACACGCGCGCGTCGTCGCGCGCGCATGCCGAAATCCTTCAAAAACCTTCGGTGCCGGAAGGATTTCGCAATCGAGCTTCCAAAAAAAACACATGGTTTCGCAACAGTGATTTGCTAAACAAGCTTCCGCGCGAGCTCTTGCGAAATCTTAAGAAAACCATATGTTTTCAAGATTTTCACAACATGCTACCAAACGGGCTTCGCGCGCGCGCATGTCGAAATCTGTCGAACGCCCTTGCGCGCGTGCCGTCGCGCGAATCCTATGCAACAAATGTGACGAAGTGCAGACGCGCGCGTCGTCGCGGGCGTATGCCGAACACCTTCACAACCCATCGGTTTCGGAAGGATTTCGAAATCGTGCGTCCAAAAAACCTACAAAAACCCGAGGTTTCGCAACACGGATTTTCAACAAAAGCGTGCGCGCGCGCTCTTGCGTCGTCGTCGTCGTCGTCGTCGTCGTCGTCGCCGTCCTCCCTCCTCCCGCGTCGTCGTCGTCGTCGTCGCCTACGTCGTCCTCTGTCTTTTTCTCGTGTTCGTCGTCGTCGTCCTCTTTGGCGTCGTGGTCGTTTCCGTCTTCGTTGTCGCCGTGGTCGTCCTTCCTCCTCCTCCCACGTCGTCGTCGTCGTCCGTCGTCGGCGTCTCGTCGTCGTCCCTCCTATTTCGTCGCCGTCGTCGTCGTCGTCGTCGTCGTCGTCGTCGTCGTCGTCTTCCCTCCTCCCTCGTCGTTGTCGTCGTCGGCGTCGCCGTCCTTCCTCCTTCGTCGTCGTTCGCGTCGTCGCCGTCCTCCCTCCTCCCTCGTCGTTGTCGTCGTTGTCGTCGTTGTCGCCGTCGTCGTCCTTCCTCCTCCCTCGTCGTCGCCTTCGTTGGCGTCGTCGTCGTCGTCTTCGTCGTCGTCGGCGTCGGCGTCGTTGTCGTCGTCGAAGTCGTCGGAGACGTCGTCGGTGTCGTCCTAGTCGTTGTCGTCGGTGTCGTCGTAGTCGGTCTTAAGAGGTTTTGCAAACCAAGTTGCGGGTGGGTGGGTGGGTGGGATGTTTGCGCGAGCAGTGGAGATGACGACTTCAAGTTCAGCAGAGTGGGTTGCACAACATAGATTGCACCACGTAGATTGCACACCATAGGTTGCACGATATAAATGGCAAAACATATATAAACTTACGTATCTTGTACGATATAGATCGTATTACGTACATTGTACACCATCGATTCTCCTTTCTAAAAGACTAATAGATTCTACCCCCCCCCCGGGCTTATCGGTTACCCCGCGCGTGCTGCAAATTACATATGATTCTGACCACATGTCCATCCTAAATATGAACTCATACCATCCCAGCCAAGCCGGGTTCCCCCCCCCTGCGGTTCCCTTGTAAAAAACACTATGCGGTGACATTTTTTGTTCCAACATAGCACGTTTTCACGAATCCCTTGCAAAACATGTGACGAAGTGCACACGCGCGCGTCGTGGCGCGCGCATGCCGAAATCCTTCAAAAACCTTCGGTTCCGGAGAGATTTCAAAATTGAATTTCCAAAAAACATAAAAAAAATACATAGTTTCGCAACACTGATTCAAAGAAAAACTTACGCGCGAACTCTTGCGAAATCTTAAGAAAACCATATGTTTTTCAAGATTTTCACAAAATGCTACCAAACGGGCTTCGCGCGCGCGCATGTCGAAATCTGTCGAACGCTCTTGCGCGTGTGCCGTCGCGAGAATCCTCTGCAAAAAATAGGACGAAGTGCAGACGCGCGCGTCGTCGCGGGCGTGTGCCGAAATCCTTCAGAAACCTTCGGTTTCGGAAGAATTTCGAAATCGTGCGTCCAAAAAACCTACAAAACACAAGGTTTCGCCACACGGGTTTTCAACAAAATTGTGCGCGCGCGCTCTTGCGTCGTCGTCGTCGTCGTCGTCCTCCCTCCTCCCTCGTCGTCGTCGTCGTCGTCGTCGTCGTCGTCGTCGTCTTCTGTCTTTCCTCGTCGTCTTTGGCGTCGTCGTCGTTTCCGTCGTCGTTGTCGCCGTGGTCGTCCTTCCTCCCTCGTTGTCTTCGTCGGCGTCTCGTCGTTGTCCCTCCTATTCCGTCGCCGTCGTCGTCGTCGTCGTCGTCGTGGTCTTCACTCCTCCCTCGTCGTTATCCTCCTCCCTCGTCGTCGTCGTCCGTCGTCGGCGTCTCGTCGTCGTCCCTCCTATTTCGTCGCCGTCGTCGTCGTCTTCGTCGTCGTTGTCATCGTCGTCGTCTTCCCTCCTCCCTCGTCGTTGTCGTCGTCGGCGTCGCCGTCCTTCCTCCTTCTTCGTCGTTGGCGTCGTCGCCGTCTTCCCTCCTCCATCGTCGTTGTCGTCGTTGTCGCCGTCGTCGTTTTTTCTCCTCCCTCGTCGTCGTCTCCGTTGGCGACGTCGTCGTCGTCTTCGTCGTCGTCGTCGGCGTCGTTGTCGTCGTCGTCGGTGTCGTCGTCGTCGTTGTCGTCGTCGAAAACATTGGAGACGTCGTCGGTGTCGTCGCAGTCGCTGTCGGCGGCGCCGTCGTCGTCGATGTCGCTGTCGTCGTCGGCATCGGTGTCGTGGCCAAGTGCCACGCAGTACCTACCGTCACGGTCTTGTCTGAAGATGTCTTGCGACCAAGTTGCGGGTGGGAGGGTGGGATGTTTGCACGAGCAGTGGAGAGGACAGCTTCAAGACAGTCGAAGTGGATTGCACCACGTAGATTGCACCACATTTGTTGCACCACATAGGTTGCACAACATATGTTGCACCACATAGCTTGCTCCACATAGACTGCCCAACAGAGCTTGCACCACACATATTGCCCAACATATATCGCATCACACAGACTGCTCAGTCGACATTGCGCCACACAGATTGCTCAACATAGATTGCGCACCACAGAATGCACCACACAAAAAAACACATCGCAAATTGCACTACGTAGGTTGCACCTCATATATTGCACCATCAAGGTTGCCCAACATTGATTGCAAAACCAAAAATGCACAACGTAGATTGCAAAACATAGGTTGCACTAAATATATAGGTCCATATGGATTGAACAACATGTACTGCTAGACTGCTAGAAACACTGTCTTGGGTCCACACTGGCTAACATACATTTCTTTGGGATCCTGTGGGGGAGCCTTGAGTGAGGTCATCTTCGGGTGCCCGTTGGTTTCCCGGAATGACTTGGAACCAAATGCTCTTGGGGCGGGCGATCTTGGGGCCATCGAGTGCACCACCAACCTTGTGGGGTCGCTTGGAACTCCACCGAGGGCACACCAAGGATACGTTGCAACACGTTCGGTTATATCGATTCGCGAACCATCTCGGGTCCGAACTGAGTTGGTGGCCGTGAGCCGGGGACTCCTGGAACCGAGCCGACTGACAACGGGGGGGGCGGCCCGAACCCGCGAACCGAAACTGGTCACGGCCAAACCGAACTGGCAATCTGAAACCGACTCAATCGTTCGAACCGAACAGGCTGGAACCGAACCAGGTCCCCTCGGTATGGAGGGGGGAGGGGGGAGGGGGGACGGGGGAGGGAGGAGGGCCCCCCCCCCAACACTTCCCGACACCCTCAGCACCCGCCAACACCCCTGAGAGCACGCTGGGCACGCCGGGCCCCGCAACCGCGGCAGCAGCAGCAGCGGCAGCCGCAGCGGCAGCAGCGGCGGCGGCTGCAGCAGCTGCAGCAGGAGCAGCAGCAGTAGCAGCAGCAGGAGCAGCAGGTGCATCAGCAACAGCAGCGGCAGGACAGGACGACGACGACGGCGTCGACGACCGTGGTGGCGCAGGCGGCGGCAGCGGCGGGAGCGAGGAGGGGAGAGGGAGAAGAAGGAGGTAGGAGGGATGAGGCAGAGGATGGGAAAGGGAGGAGGAGGAAGCCAGATGAGGAGGACCGGTGCAAACCCAAGACTCATCAACGATGTTGGGCTGCACCCTCCCTCCAAGCTCCGTCTTCACAACTCCAGCACAAGGGTTCACTTCCACTGAGGGGCTTGCCCCGTTGGGAGACAACCGCGATACAATCCTGAAGCGTGCCAACGCGCCATTCTTAGGATTGAAAAGCCACGAGTCAACCTGACTGCTGCGTCTTGACGATCCTGAATCGTGCCAGAACGCCATTCCTGGGACCCCAGCACCGCGAATCGACGTAACTGTTGCACCCTGACTTTTCCTGAATCGTTCGAAAACGCCGTCTCTGGAATGGTTAACCATGAACATCCGCGAAACCTTTGTAAACATTTTAAAATGAATCTGTACGGCGCCAAGGCGAGAACCACATTTTGAAAAGGAGCCGTCCTCAATTCGTGAAGTTCTTGCAGAAAGGTTTAGAACGAATGCGCGCGGCGCTAAGGCGAGAACCACATTTCGAACACGACACGTCCTCAATCCGAAACTGTAGCACATGTTTAAAAGCGGATCTGCGCGGCGCTGAGGCGAGAACCACACTTCGAAAACGACCTGCCTTCAACCAGAAGAACCCATGCAACTTGTTTGGACGAGTGTGCGCGGCGCTAAGGCGGGAGCCACATCCTGAAAACGACGTGCCCTCAATCCGTGAAGATATTGCGAATGTTTGGCGCTAAGGCGAGAGCCACATTTTGGAAGCGACGAGAGAGAGAGAGAGAGAGTATGGTGAGTATGGTGAGAAAGTGCACGCACGTGCCACACTACGTCGGTGGGGGGGGGAGGGTAGGGCGGGGAGTGAGAGAGAGCGAAAGGCAGAGGGAGAGGGAGGAGAAGACGAGCAGCGAGGCGCGGCCCCGTGGCAGGAGTGTTCGCTGTCGGGCCTCGGCCAGCGGCAACCGCCACCGCAGCAGCACTCGCTCGCCCTCGCTGTCCAGCGTCTGCGTGGAGAGCTCCTCGCCTGGTGGGAGGAGGGAGGAGGAGGAGGAGGAGGAGGAGGAGGAGGAGGAGGAGGAGGAGGAGGAGGCGCGAGCGCCCTTGGGCGTCCAGATTGCAGCAGCAAGCCCGCGAGTCTGTGCGAGTATAAGCCGGCAGGGTAATGGTGCACGGCAGCCCTGGCAAAGCACCTGGTCTCCAAAGGGGGGGGCCCGACTGCACCAGGGAACTGGGAACACACATACACACGCACGCACATACACACAAATACACACAAACACACACACACATACTCACACACAAACACCCAGACACAAGCACAAGCACAAAACACACACAAGCACAAGCACAAGCACAAGCACAAGCACAAGCACAAACACACACACACACACACACCTACACACACTCATACACACAAATACACACACACGCGCACACACAGACAGACACAAACAAACACACACACACACACACACACGCGCACGGCGGGAACCAGATGCGGAACCTGCGGCGAGGGCATTGGACATGGAACGCAGGGTCTTGAAACTAGTGGAGATCCAATCGTGGATTGGCCACGGATATCACCGCCACCCTCGTCAGATGAGGGAACCCCAAAGGTCTGTAGCCTCATGGGTACATTCCTGAACCAACGCCCCATCCGTATCCGCAGCCCGCGCGCTGGATGCACGCGTGGAAGCCCGGCCAACACGGCCACACAGGGATGGCCAAGCGCCGGCACCTGGCACCTGGCAGCAGGGCTGAACCTAAACGGTGTCGTTCGTTTTCGTTTGGTTTCCGTTCTCCCTTGTTTTGCCATCGCTTCGCCGCGAATGCAACACGAAACGAAAAACAAAACGGCCCACGAGATGACCAAACACCGTTTATGTCCAGCCCTGCGTGGCAGCATGCGCATGCCTGGCTCTCGCCCGAGTGGGCCGCGCCAATGTGCATCTGGCTCCGCAGCAGACCGCGAGGCCGGCGGAGCGAGCAGCCAGAGATATCCGACGCATTGATTTGTCCAGTACGGTGTGGGCAGTGGATGCGGAACCATGAGATAGAGAGTCCAGGCTCCGGAAGCCAGTGGACGACGCCCCAGCCGCACGCGGTCCCCGCAAAGCCCGACAATTTCCCCAGGGCCAGATTTTCACCCCCAGTCGCTTGTTTACTGCCCCCCGAGGCCGAAAACTCGCACAGGCCTCCCGCCGCGCTGCCTTCGTGGCCCGAGGAGGCGCGGGGCTCCGGGAGGCCGACCGCGGCGAGAGCCCGCCGCGCCAGGCAGCCCGAAGCCGGCGCCTCGTCGGCCCCAGCTCGGCGAGGGCCCCCGGGGGGGCCCGCGCGGCGCGAGCGCCGCCGCGGGCGGGCTCTGCTCGGAGGGGGGCAGCCGCTCGCCCCCCTGCACGTGTGCCCCATCGCCCCCTCGAGGGCTTGGCGGCTCCTCTCCGGGCGGCTTGCGGGGATCGGGCCAGAGAGGAGGGGGAGGAGGAGGAGGAGGAGGAGGAGGAGGAGGAGGAGGAGGAGGAGGAGGAGGAGGAGGACCTTCTGGACCTTCTGACCAAGCGCCGAGGTCGTGCAGGAGAGAGCGGGGGAAGGGGGGGTGAGAGGGCCGCCTGCGCCGATCTGCCCGTGGTCGCTAGACTATTTTGTTAACTATTTGTGGATCTCCTAGGGCTCCCAACTTCGCGCTTCGCGCTCCGCGAAGCGCGAATAACTTCGCGCTCTCGCGCCGCCCCCCCCCAAAGGGGGAAAAGGAGGACGAGGAGGAGGGTGAGAAGGCACGCGGACCGCGAAGCGCGAGTAACTTCTCGCGCCCCTGTGGGAGCCCTTGCTCTCCCCCCTGTGAAGGGACAGGCCCGCTTGGGTATTTTTTGTGCATTTGTTTGATTATTGTTTGAAAATGTTTTCACCTTCTTGGGGTACTATTGGGGGCACTTCTTTATCTTTCGTCGACGATCCCCCTGCAGGGGGGGACACGCCCGACACAAGACTCTAGGTGTGCCCCATCGTCCCCTCGAGGGCTTGGCGGCTCCTCTCCGGTCGGCTTGCGGGGATCGGGCCAGAGAGGAGGAGGAGGAGGAGGAGGAGGAGGAGGAGGAGGAGGAGGAGGAGGAGGAGGAGGAGGGAGGAGGAGGAGGAGAGGAGGAGGAGGAGGAGGAGGAGGAGGAGGACCTTCTGGACTCTCGGTGTGGCTCTCCCCCCCGTGGAGGAACCGGCCCGCCTCGGAGCCGGCGGGGCGAGCCGCCGAGCCCCGGGGGCGCCCGGAACCCCGGGGGCCGCCCGCCCCTCCCGCGGCCGGGCCTCGCCGCTCCATCGTCTCTTTCCATGCAGCGGACACCTCCTCCTCCTCCTCCTCTCCCCCCCTCCCCCTCCTCCTCCTCCTCCTCATCCTCCTCCTCCTCCTCCTCCTCCTCCTCCTCCTCCTCCTCCTCCTCCTCCTCCTCCTCCTCCTCC